CCAGTCTGGGTGGGAGCCTGCTGCTAGCAGCTGGTTCCTCTGTGCTGCTAGGTGTTCATGCACTGCTGTTAGTTTCTTTAGCCAGTAAGTGTGGAACATGCCCAGGCCAGGTGCTGTCCAGCTCTTCATGTTGGATGTCTGCTACTGTGACAGTGACTGGTTCCTATTCTGGGACATTGCTGTGGTCTGTTCTCATGTCCTGCAGCCACTTTGCACTGGTGTTATGTGTCTTTTTCTCCCATATGTTTTTCCAGTTCTTCCAGTTCAGTTTCTGCTGTTGGTGGCTCTGTTGTTACTGTGTTGTTGCACTGCAGTTGGGAATACACCTTGGATAGTTCTTTGGAGAACAGGGCATTTATGTTTTTGACCTCTGCTTCTCTAGTATATCTTTTTAGACTGGCAGCCAGCACTGTGAGCCTTTGTTTAGCAGTCTCTAGGGTTTCTGATAGAGTCAGGCTCTTGTATTTTTTCAGTAGCCGAGTCTTATCCTTAATGTCTGCACCCTTCTATAGTTCCACCAGCTGACTAACTTCTCTCCTTGTTGCTTTGATCTCAGCTTCCAACCTTGTTTTCCAGAGGGGGTATGTACTGTTGTTCTTCTTGATTGTATAGTCGAGCATGTCCAGGATTACACTGGGTATAACGTATACCAGTTTGGTTTGAGTTATGGTGGTAGTAGGGATTGTCATGAAGGTTCTATTGGCATCTTCTAGAGTACTATCTGATAGTACTTCTCCACTGAGCCTTAGTAATCAGTCTCAAGGGTTGACTGTAGCTAGTTTATCCATGATCTTATGCCTCATATCAGCTGCTGTGCTCTGTAATGGAGGGGGTAGCAGTGATGTTCCAGCTTCAGGTGTTGGCTGCTCATCCAGTTGTTCTTCCATGCCTTCTTGAATCTGGGATGTAATGTGTAGTTGATCTATCTCAAACTGTGAGAGCAGCTTCCTCTTCGCTATGTTGGAGCATTGGGTAACTAGTTGTTTCTCAGTGTGGATGTAGGTTTTCTGTCCATCCATAGTTCTCTCATATGTTTCATATATCCCATCTCATTAGGTCTACTGTTGTAATTCCAGGTTCTCTTGTCTCATCTATGTATGGTTAGTTCCAGTAGCCCACTTATCATCAGATAGTCCTGGTTCCCCAACATCTGGTGCAGACCTTATTAATCTGGGCAATGTCCAAGCTGGCATGACTCTCTTAGTTCGTGTCACTCTTATATCCAAGATAGACAGGTGAAGCATTAGGGAGTCTTTGCCCAAGGATCCCTACTGGTAAGATTCAAACGCCAGTCTCCTACGTCAAAGAGCAGCACTCTAACGACTACACTATCCAGCCACTATACACAGTATGTGGGTGTGTGGGTGTGTTCATTCATTCATTCGTTCTCCTATGGTTTGTTTTGTTTCTAATGTTTCTAATGTTACAATGACCTCCATTTGTATCCTGGAGCTTAGTCTATTCTCCTTTAATTTTGTTTCAGAGTCAAATATTCTCAGACTGTAAATCTGAAAGAATGAGTTCAAATTTGTAATTTTCTTTGGTTAATGGGTAGCTATTAAAATACTGTGGAATTTGAATGTTCCATTATTAATCATAAGTCATTCTAGTGGTTGCTTTATTACTTCTTTTTTTGCTTTCTGTTTGGTTTTCTTTGACTAAATTATTAAGTTCAATTATAGAATCCAGTGTATCCCAAAACTTTCAGTGTTAGGCTACATTTCTAGCCTAAAGTTAATCCAGGTTTTTATATTAAATCTGAGTCATTTTGAAATCAATGGTATCTTCAAATAGGACTTTCAAGGGCTCTTGAAAGGACTCCAGTACCAGATTAATATTCTAAGAGTAACAAAGTAAAAGCAGAAAGTGCTAATCAAGTCTTTAGGGGGAGGAAATTCTAGAATCTAAGAGCAAAAACTGCAGATATCTTTTCAATGCAATCACTCACCATACCCCTCAGTTCCTACCAAGAAAAAAACCACACACCCACCAACACTGACAAGGCAAGCCTCTGTGTACAAACAGGGAGCAAACCCCACACTCGCCAGCACTGATGGTGTTACTTAGTCAGGTAATGAAATGTCTGCAAGTTCAGAAGGCACCAAGGACTCCACAGTTGATTAAGATGGAGCATAAAATATTTCTCCAAATCATTTTGGACAGTCCAGCATGGCCAACAGGCATAGGTTACATGAAATTGTGATACAAAGCCCATTAAAGAAACGATATGATGATCCATACACACAGGTTTTCCTTTAATTTCTGTAATATTTGTGTGTTTACATTCTCTTCAAGAATTCTTTATGCTGGGGACATAAATGTAAGGATCACGAAATAAGACTAAAGGTATCCACTGGCCAAGTTGCAAGCTATCCAGCCATCCAAATGAACATGAAGTGGACAACGCTTCCTTCCCTCCTAGACAGCCATGCTTCTTGGTAACCTCTCTGTGACTTCTCATTTTTCCAAATGGGGATTCTTTAAAATGTTTGTTTGCGTGCATGTGACTAAGTTTCCTAGTGGGAAATATGGGAAGAAATGTGGTTGAAACTTGGGGGGGGAGGTCTCATGGTCAGAAATGGAGAAGAATTTGGCTATGCAATCCCTATCCTTTATCCCCACCATGTGCGTGTGTGCACACACACACACACACACACACACACACACAAAGCAACTTCAAGCCATTTGGGAAGATGGAAAGGGAATTAAGGCCTTCTAATCCCCACCCTTAATTTGGGGAGAGACAGAACATTGCCAATTATGGGAGTTGGCTTCAGGATGGGGGCAGCTTGTTTCCTGTGTCTGAACTAAATCATATTCATCACTTGATTCCCTCCAGGTCTATGGATTTCCTTCCTAATGTTGCGTATGTTTTAGGCTTTTCCACAGCCTATCAGAAGAATCCCACTCATGAGATTACATTCAGATTTATTGAAAAATCTCCAGGAGCTAATGTTGTCATCTTTAAAGTTCCTGGTGTAGGTGATCATTTTCCATTTTCTCAAATAACTAGTATAGTTCCTCTTTTGAAATTGGATAATTAATGGAATGGCATAGTGAAAAGGATAGACAGAGCCACTGACATGATATGATATTGAGATCATTTAAAGGTTCAAAGTGAAGACAGAGACTCTTTGAAAATTATTAGTTCCCATCCTTAATTATTTTGTGAGTAGGCTTTCCTAGACTAAGAGACATAACATAAATATAAGCCACTTCCCCAGTAATTTTAACCTGTGAAGATTCCCTTTGCTGTTGATCTATTGGTTACATATCTGAACAAGTTTATCAACTAAACTCGCTTTAATTATTCTTGAAAATACTAATGCTACCTATTACTTGACTTGGAAAGATTTTTATGAAGTTAGAAAATTGGATCAGAGAAGCAAATATCTGAGTTTTCTCAGTTTGAGGTGGACTTTCTAAAAGACATGCATCCTTATTCCCCCTGAGAATATCTATGCTGTGAAAAACTGTTATAAAATGGATCTCCGCTTACAGTCACTCAATTGCTTACACATACTTTATGAAGACACACATGCCTCCCACCTCTCTTGCTTTCTACCTAGTCCAACAACCAGATAGGTGAGGCTGAGGTTTCTTGATCCATAGCCCTGGTCAGCAAGGGGGGAAATCTGATAAGAAACACACATTCTTTCAGTGGAGGGATCACAATTGAAAGGCCCAATTTTCTCCCAGGTATTGTAGCAAAGAAAGCACAACAAGTACTTGTCTCAGAGCAACACTGCAATACACCATGTGCACATGGACACGCACATACGGACCTCTACTTACCAACCCTTTCCTAGGCTAATCAGGCAGTACTAAGGGTAATGGAGAAGACAGATCTTATCAAGATGAAATAGTTAGTCCTTCATGTTTGGTCTCTTCAATTTAGCTCCGGCTGCCAGGTATCTTTCATCATTTCTCCCCTTCATACTGATTGGCCAGATTTCTTTCCAGTTGTTTTCTTATAACACCTATCATAACTGCTGTTCTCTTAGACCAACTGCTTTGCACCACATGTTATTTTGAACACTGACCTACCTTCCTACAACCTAGCAGATATTTTGAACCTCGCCAGCTTCCATGGCTCTCCTTTTGCTCGTAACAGCAGTGCATCTGAATAAGCTCAGACGTATCTTACAAGGAGTGGCATAATGGGAGAGGTGCGTTATTGCCCAGAATAACCATACATTCCATCAAGGTTCTGCTGCTCAATTCTCTGCAATCTGCTTTTTAATCTGCATATTAGGCACTACTTTTTGCCTGCATTTTTAACCCCTTTATAGTCCATACAGAGTTATAGGGACCAAGTAGAACTGGGTGATTGGGAGAAAATGTATTTTGCATTTTCCTTTCTTGTATTTTGTTTCAATCCATTGTTTATAGCTCAGTAAATAAAATAATGAGTTTAGGTGATATATATAAAAAAAACAGAAACATTTCTCTTTACATACTGAAACTTTAAATCAAAATGCATTTGTAGCAACATTGATCTTTATGTCTTCATTATTTTCTTTCTAGAAAACCTTTTACAGGGATGATTTCTGTACTGCTTTTCCTTTACCTGGCTTCCCAGTTCCATACTATCAAACTCCAGAATTAAGCACCTTTAATTTAGCTTCATGGCTAGCCAAAGAAGTTGAAGGTAAATTAATGCTGCTTTTACACCAAGCCAATAACTAAGAGACTAATCAATGTTGGTTGTGTTTATCTTTCCATGGCGTTTTTTTCGGATAGCCTAGAGCTGAATCTAGGCTTAGCAATGCTTCGGCTGGGCTGGTTGAAATCAGTGAGACTTAAGTTAGCTATTATTTTGTTTAAGTCTGGTTGCTTTCAGGGGATCCACTTTAATCATAACAATGTCTGGATCCAACCCACTCTTTTGAGCTTTTACTCCTTCAAATGTAGTCCCATTGATATTACCTAGCCTTATTCCTAGCTAAACATATTAGCAAACATCTTTTGCAACATGGTTTGAAATTGTTATCTTATTGGTTTCTGTAGCAAGATAGGTTTACAGATATGATCATGCTTAAGTGATTGTTAAGTGGCTCCCCTATTATTAACATATCTTTGCCTAATATTTCTTCCTTTTTAGCTTTGTCTTTTATAGCTTTTTAATGTTTTTATACTAATGATTATGGCTTTTACTATTTATTAATTTAACTGTTTTTTAGCCTTGTCATACGCCACCCAGAGTCACTTGCTTGTGAGATTTATTTATATAATAAATAAATGTATTAATCATAAATTCATTTATTATATAAATAAATAAAGCAAAAGTTGAGGATTTGATTAGGTTTTTCTCTTTACAGCTGGTAGGACTGAAGTTTAATTCTGACTGGCCCTATTATTTATTTTCTTATCAGCTGTATGTGAGGTGCAGGATGAAAGGATTACAACTTTCGACAATAAGATATTCAACGCTAGTATTGCTGAGAGAGAATGTGACCTTCTGATAGTCAAGGATTGCACCACATCTGAAAGTTATAAGCCACAATTCCTTATATGGATCCAAAACCCCAAACCTTGTCTCTCAAAAGAAATTTACATGTCCTTTAATTCAATGTAAGTTTAACCAAATGGAAAGTTCTTCCAAATTTCAACTTTCTTTCCAATAGCTTCTTTTCCAATAGCTTTTTAAATAGCTGTTGTCTCTTAACTAAACTTTTCTTCTTAGAAATTGTTCTGCCATTCTTGATAAGAGGTTTCTTATGTTTGGGTTTCCAGCTTTTCAATTCTGTACTTTCTTGCAAAGATGCCAGGATCTTATAAACAGGGGAGGCCATAAAATCCCATTAAGTTTGAACATCTTAACTAATGGGGTTAGTTTATAGGGTTGAATTTCTACATGACCATTCAATGTTCAAAATTCAGCTCATCCATGGAATTCCTAGCAGGCCTAAAGCTGTGATGAGGAATCTATGGGTCTTTAGGGGTGGCTAAAATGTGCTTCCCATCATCTGGTGGCCATGCTGCATTGGTTTCTAATAAAATCTGGAAAGCACGTGGTCCATACCAATTATTGGGTCTCATCCTAACCTACTTCATAGGTATATAAGGTAATTATAATAACAGAATAAGCTCAAAAAGATGACACAGCACAAAGATGCTGCTATCAATAACTAGATTGACTTCTCTAAATGTATATTCTAGAATACAATATGGCTGCCTCCAGAATTACAGGACAGCCTTCATTTTAACAAACTTATAGCCGGAAATGTGGGTTACATAGAATTAGTTTTAATTAGTAAAAAAATAATAACGAACAGTGCCTTTAGGATTCTTAACACAGATAGCTAAGGTGCTTGATAATGACATCTTCTATCCATAGGCCTGGCATAAGTGCTGTCACATTAAAATTTATCAAATTGTCGTCAATAGTGTCATTTACATACAGGAATTTTTCAAAAAAATGTGAGGACACAGTTCTAAAACAGGCTTAGAATTTAAAATTAAGTAAGGAAAACAACCGAGAGGTTGTAAGGTAGTATGAACAGGGAAAGAATCTTTCTTTCTTTCTTTCTTTCTTTCTTTCTTTCTTTCTTTCTTTCTTTCTTTCTTTCTTTCTTTCTTTCTTTCATTTATGACATTTAGTTTTAGTTGAAGAGGAGTTGCCATGGTATAGTAAAAGAGCTGTAGATGCTTTGAAGTAATTCAGTGAGGGTTGTTGGTGACAACAAAGCAGCCTTTTTTCGTTCATCAGCTTGTTCTAACTAGATTGTCAGAAGCTGCAGAGAAGGGGAACCTTTTAATGTCAGTATGCATTATATAAGAAGATGGCATCTGTTTCTATGTTTCTATCAGTGGCTTCAAATCCACTGGTACTTCTCTTCTTTAGACCAAATTTTCACTCTATTCAAGCCATAGCAGGTATAGCAAAAGCAGTTCTTCAGAGAAAGGCTGGCTATTTTCTGCTAATTATTATCCTTTTTTCCTTGTTTAACTTCCTAACAAAATGCATCTTTTGTTTTTCCCAATGGCAGAGAAATCATAATCCGATCTTCCTTAGGTACACTGACTGTGTTACGTAATAAAGTACCAATACTAACAAACAGAGAAAGATATGAGGACGACAGAGGTACTGTATCCTATGCCATATTCTATCTTAAATAATAGATATCAGCTCATATACTCCATGTTGGCTCTGGTTCTGTTACTTTATTTTTTCAATAATTATTTAAAAAATAAACTTGAATCATTTAGCAGTAATTCTTATGTACTGTATGATGGTCCTTCGGGTTCAAAGAAGACACACTATTGTGTAGTCCACCTGTGGACACAGAGATGGCTCTGCAGTCCCAGTCTGGAATTGCAGAGTCTAGTACAATGGGGGCACTAGACGTCCATTGTTGTAGTAATGGTGGGTGTTATTCTGTAATGGTTTTCTATCAGTTTTTGGCGACTCCTGTCTTCAAAGCCAGTGGAGGCTCCAAAGCACAGGGCTTGCGAGTGGGTTCTGTCAGCAACCACAGCTTCTAGTTCCCTTCACTGGATGTCACAGTGGCATAGGGTTTCTTTCATGGCATCTTTGTAGCACTTGCGTGGTTGACCTCGAGGTCTCTTCCCAGACTCCAGTACACTATAGAGCAACTGGAGAAGTATACAGTGGTCATCCATTCTGATCAGATGTCCCACCCACCACATCTGGGCTCTGATAATCAGGGACTCAATGCTGGTGGACTCCACGAGATCCAAGACCTCCAGGTTGGATACACAATCTTGCCAACTAATGCCAAGGATGGAGAAGAGAGTACATATGTGAAATTTCTCCAGTTCTTTGATGTGCCTTTGGTACAGAGTCCAGGATTCACATCCACATAGGAGAGAAGGGATAACCAAAGTTCTGTAGACTTTCAGCTTTGTGGAGATATGGATGTTGTGTTGATTGAGTACTCTAGTATGCAGCCACCCCAGTGCCTGGCTGGCCTTGCTGATCCTGGAGTCAATTTCTTTTTCCAAAGACCCAGCACTCAAGACGATGCTTTCCT